GAAGAAGTGAATGGGTGTAAGGAACTGGAAGAGAGCAGCGCAGGGCAGAGAGGAATGGAGGGGCTTGATAAGGGAGGCCAAGGCCTGACGTCGGGCTGTTGTGCCGTAGAAGAAGAAGAAGACATGCTTCTGAAGTGGAAACAAAATACAGACATAAAAGGTAAAAGTATGTAATAAACATGTTTTTATAGATTTTAAAATCATATCATAATTTCCCCACAGAAATGAATAGAATTTGTTTAAATTTTTATCTGATGTTAGTCGTTGGTATTAGCATTGTTGACCCTCTGAGATCTGCAGTCAGTTGTCATTTGTTATCTTCCAAAAGAATGTTACAAATGTGACATCAGTTCAGATGACCAAAATTGCGTTGATGCCTTACACTTTAGGAGCTCTAAGGCCCCCCCATTAAAAACCTCTCCTTTAATGTAAAGTAATTATATATTCTTAGAAATGAAGTAGTATTGTTAGCTAAAGTATATGAACATGTTTTATTGTCTGAAAAAGGCATTAGCTTTAAATGTCCTTCATAGTTGGAAGAACAGTATATGTGTGATGTAGTTTGAACTATGTGTGTAATGTCATAAGCCTGCACTTGACTTGTAGCAATCTCTTTTCATGGCCCTCCTTTTTGTATCCACACAGTAGGTACTTAACTAGAATTTTTTTAGGTAAATGTGGTTAACTCCAGTACATCATGGAAGGTGACCCTGTTCATGGAGCACCGTGAGAATCAAGAAGAAATCCTGAAAGGGGGAGATGTAGTACGTCTGTTCCATGCAGAACAGGAGAAGTTCCTTACCATGGATGAACATAAGAAGAAACAACATGTGTTTTTAAGAACTACTGGTAGAACATCAGCCACCTCAGCCACCAGTAGTAAAGCCTTATGGGAAGTGGAGGTAAATGGCATGGACTAGTTTCTCTGTTTTGAATATTTTCTGTGTGTGTGTATGCACGCACATGCACACCCCTTTCGCTGACAGATTGGCTCAGGGTTATTAGTTTGAAGAGAGATGTTTGGGTCTCCTCATAATAAACACCAATCCCATATAACATATGTATATAGTATGGTGTAGAAGCTATATGTATGCACAACAATGCTAACACAATTACAGTGTGGTTTCCCAAATAAAAGAAAAACAGCGCATTCATAACCTATGCTCTTATATACCATAACACTACAAAATAGTTCTATCACTTAATCTGCTCAGTTTGCAAAAAATTGACCACTTGTAACCTGTGCTGCTCATAGTGTTATTAAGCATAAAACAAGTCTGCCTTTCAATCCACTGAGTTCTCAGAAATCAGACCACTTGTTATCCAAGCCCTTAGACACCAAAACACAGCAAAACGATGCATTCATTCTGCCCTGTTCCTTCTATTTCTTTATGTTAATCTGCAGTATTAAGCCTTTTCCAAAAAGAAAAATGATCCAATCAATTTGTCGTGCATTAGATCAGTCCATACATTCACTTTGGGGCTGCCTCTCTCCAACTCACATGTGACATGTGGATTTTGAATACCCCAAATCCTGTAGTTGTACCTGTTTACAACTCTGTTGACATGGAATGTCATCTCATCCAAGAAGCACGCTTGGCGGAGAAAATCGGGTGATGCGTCAATTCTTTCTAGCATGTCCACAGCAAAGTTTATGCATGCTACTTGGTCATTCGGTTTTAGTGCATGAATCATTTGAATCTTGCATGCTCTTAGGTGGAGCCTTTTGTGTAGTGCATCATGCCCTGTTGAACATAGAATTTGTAACTGCAAGCTAGCAGCATGAATTGATTTGCGCAGACCACTGGAATGCCTCTCTAATGCGATTGACATTTTCTTCAGAGGTCCAGGTCTTTTCGGGAGATTTTACATGCAACAGACTACCTGTGGTCCTCAGTTTGTTGTCCCAGAGTCAAATACTTTTCCGTGTAGGAGGTTGACATCTGTATTGCAGTCTAAAATGATGCTGGACAGCCATAAGAGAGTGCAACATGCATTGAACCTGTTCCTGTGGTGTTGACATTACTGAGCTCGCCGAAGGTCACTGACTGTTGCATGCACATAAGCCAGGCATAAAAGAACTTTCAGAGTTTGCCTTTCTGGTGACATAAATCAGATAATTAGTTTCTGAGATATACATTTTTTATTTTGGATCCCTTTCGTCTGAACATCCTGTACGTGAAAGATGTGGACAGGGTCAGTCTGTACTTAAGTTACTATTCCATCCTTCAAAAAATGGTCAGGTGGTCCAAAAGCAGTTGTGCTTTATCTTATAGATTGAGCTCCCTTCAGTGCATTCTTTGTTTACAGAACCTTAAACCCAAAGTTTTTGCATCAGGTTAGGAGGGCATGGATGACTGAAAAGCTTACTGCAATTGGGTGCCATGCTGATGGTGCCCAACCTCAGTTGAAGGAACCCATGCCATGCAGGCCCAAACAAACAGAGCCCTCCAGGCAGATTGGCGGGGCAATTCAGCAATCATAAACCGAGAAAACTAGTTTCAACCAATCAAGGAAAAAGCAGTATCCAGCAAGACATTGTAGGATGTGTACTCTAGTGAAATGAGACACTTTCGTAAATTATGCTCCGCCAAACTGCATAACGGTTTTCATTTTGAGGGATTCCATTCTGTGAAGCACTGCTGAACTACCTTCATGCAGTTTTCACACATTGAGCTGCAAATTGTCATGTAGACCTCAGCATGTAAGTATGGGTTCTCTCTGCATTGAGAAATTAGATATACAGGAGTTGGACCACCAATTGCCTCCAGTACACCCGTAATCCATTTTGGAATGAACTCTTACAAATTTTGGAAAGTCTGTGGTAGAATTTTGTACCATTCTTCTTGCAGAACATCTTCAGGTACTTGTAGTCTGTTTTGGTGTTCAGATAGTGTAGCAGCAAAGTCCATTGATGTTCAGCATGGAATCGTCATCCTTCACCCCATTTCTTCCTAACTTCATCCCTTTTATACCTGTAGCTTATTTCCTTACCCTTCAGATAGCAGAGAGCTGCCACATGCGTAAACCACTGCACCATGAAAATGGCAAGATACAGTTAGACAATATACCTGCATATTGATAAGCTATCACCTAGTTTGTATGTATGTATGTATGTATATATCCCTAAGGAAAATAACTGAGTTGGTATAAATGTGTACAGACTAGGTTACCTGACTAGCTACAGTTACAATATGAAAATATACATAGGGTTAGCCTCTGTGCTTGGCAAATCAGAAGGAATTACTGCTAACATTGCCATATCCAGTTATACAGGGCCTGTTTCCATATTTATTACATGGAGGACAACTTCTAAAGCCAACAGTACATCCCAAAACATTTGTAGAGCTAGAATGGCTCACCCAATATGGTATAGTGATTACACTATGAGCTCTATGAGCAAGGTTCAATTCCAGGCAGAGGCAGATATTTTTCTCTTTGCCAGTATCTCCATACAAACTCTGAAGCTCACCCACACCCCAGCCTCCTATCCAGTGGTTACCAGGACATCTTTCCTTGGTGTACTGAAACCAGGTGTGAAGCTGACTACTAACCTCCATTAGTGCTGAGATAAAGAATATAAGTAGCTATACCTATACTCCTCCATACATCTGCCTGGCCTGGTACCTATGCACTGGTACAGTTGTCTCTCTACATTTGTAGAACTGTAATATCGGTATTTCTTCGGTAACATAAATAATATTTTAATATCATCAGAGGAATCTCTTCCTAGATCTGTTATATAATTTTTATTTGTCAAAGGATTACACAGGTCTGTTTATGAGACTGTTTTCTTTCACTCAGCCTTTACAGCAAGTGTACAGTTGAGACAGAAGCAAGCTGCTTGTGATTTGCATGCCTGGAGACAACAGTGCAGGATGGCTGGTACTGGTTGTCATGCCAGACTCTGCACACAACTGCTCAAGTGATTACTGTAAAAGACAATCCTGGCTTACTGTACTTTGTAATAACTGTTGGAAGTGACCCCCTTCTACCTTAAGCATGCCTTGCAATGTATAAAAAAGTTTCGCAGTTAAGATCTAAAATGTTTGTGTTTATGGTATATTAATACAGTTATTGTGCTTCTGGACATTATCCTCGCTCACTCATGGAGCTGAGCCATTCTTGAGAAGCCGCCAGTTGTGCAACTACTCAAGAACTTCCCGGCATTTTATGGAACCCGACTGTTCATTACCTCATTCACAAGAGCCCTCCACTGGTCCCTATCCTGAGCTACATCAATCCAATCTGTACCATCCTATTCTCTCCTTAAGATCCATTTTCATCTTGTTCACCCACGTACATCTTGATCTTACCAATGGTCTCCTTCCTCCCGGGTTTCCCACCAATATTCTATATGCATTCCTCCTCTCCCCCATTCACGCTACATGCCCTGCCCATCTCATCCTCCTTGACTTTATCATTCTAATTTCACTTGGAGAAGAGTACAAGTTATGAAGCTCCTCATTATGCAGTTTTCTCAAACACCCTCAGTCTGTGTTCCTCCCTTAAAGTCAGAGACCAGGTTTCACACCCATACCGAACCACGGGCAAAATTATAGTTTTGTATATTCTAATTTTTATGTTTTTCAACAGCAGACAATAAGACAAAAGGTTTTGGACTGAATGGTAGCAAACATTACCTGAGTTCAGTCTCCTCTTAATTTCCTCCTGAATCAGGTTGTGATTTGTTATCGTTGTTCCCAAATATCTGAACTGTGCCACATTTTCAAAACATCTGTTTTCTATATTTATGTCATGATTTTTTCCTCCATTTTGGTGACAAGATAGCAACATAGGAGTGGCATTGTTCTTCATCCTGTTTTTATGTTTTTATTTCAAGCATACAACGTGGGTCTGGACTGGCTCTGTCAATTGGGCCCAGTTGTGTAGGCTCCACCTGAAGACAGACACAGAATGCAGTCTATGAAACATTGTGTGTTTTAAATAAAAACAGGATGATGGATGATGTCCAGCAACACTATAATTGTATTAAGTTTTACAGTATTGTTTGAAGTTCACTGGAAGAATTATGCTGGAGAGCTTCAGTTATGCAAAGGTTATATTGCTGAAAATACTCATATTTTCTTTCTTCCATTGTCAGATGGTTAAAGGAACAGTTCAGTATATTGCTCATGTACCTGTATGAATTCACAGTTTGCTGAAAAAGATATGTCTTTAGTTGCATACAGCATACCACACCCCTACTTGTACACTTTGTAATGGAACTTGTTGAATGGTATGAGGATTTTCTTCACTCTCTTTTGTTATATTCTGTATATTGACATGGCCAACCATATAGAAGATGTCTGTCAGTTATGAATAGTAGCTGTGGATCTGCGCCTCTATCTTGCACATTTTGCAGCAGCAAGTCACAAAAATGAAGGCTTGTTAGTTACATGATCTGATTGCACAGGAATATCCTGAACTGTTTCTTCAGTATGCTCCCTCCACTTGGCTTGTCTCTTGTTGTCAAAAACTGAACCTATGTTGCACCACTTTTTGGTAATTCATTCTAGTGGGTGTTTATGAATGAACCTCCAAATGCACATTTTGTAAATTTTCTTTCTTTTGAAGGATTTGACTATGAAAATTCAGCATAAGTCATATACCTCATTGCATGAGTAATGAGTTCAAATACTATGACAAAAGAAGATCAACAGGCAGAACCTTCAGTCACTAATACGAGGGGGTACCCAAAAGAAACCGAACTTATTTTTTTTTAAACTTATTTATTCAAATTTTAAGCACAAACCTTCGGTCCCCTTCTAAGAACTCTCCACTTACACTAATACACTTGTCTAGTCTTTTATTCCATTTTTCAAAACATTGTCTAAATTCATCTTTTGAGATGCTTGACAGCGCCTCCGTCGTTTTTTCCTTCACCTCAGCAACATCAGCAAAACGCTGAAAAAAAGTTTTGATCATTTCGGGACTCTTCTTTCAAAGCACAGCATGCTTCCACGCGACCTTGTTTTTGTTCAGCAGTCAGCAGTCGTGGCACGAATTTCGCAGCCACCCTTTTCATTCCCAAATCTTCTGTCAAAATTCGCTGAACTGAGCTCCATGTCACTCCCGACAGCTCCACAATTTCTTCACTGGTCCGTCGTCGATCTTCCTTGATGATTTCACGAATTTTTTCAACATTTTCATGTGTTCGGGCAGTGGAAGGACGACCAGAACGAGGTTTGTCATCAATTGACATTTCACCATTTTTGAAACGGAAAAACCACTCAAACACTTGTGTTTTCCCCATAGCATCGTCCTTGTCGCCGTTTTTAACATTTCAAGAGTTTCTGTTCCACTTTTCCCGAGCAAAAAGCAGAATTTCACCGCCGCACGCTGTTCACAAAAATCAGCCATTGCAAAAACGACGATCACACAAAACAGTTGTCACTATAAACTCTGCCGCAACTAGTCCTTACCTTCGGAAGCAACGGTAGTCAGCTTATTGACTCAGGAATGTTAGCTCTATGCGCTCATAGCTGCAAAACGCGGTACTACAAAACTCTGCTCACAAAAAAATTAGTTCGGTTTTTTTTGGGTACCCCATTGTATATCAATGTAGGTATGTTTGTTGACTGAATGTGTGTTTCATTGTCATGTCACCAAGTTGCAGTATGGTTGCAGACAAACCATCCACTACATTTACAGAATTAAGTTTGTTTCCTTCTTGTTTGAACTGTTATTCATTTCAGACAATTTTAGTGATATGCAGATTTCCTAGTTTTTGTAGTGGAGACTGCAGTATATTGCTCAGAAAGAACTTTAGTTCTTTTGTACATTAATTGGATATCAGTGTAGTTACTTGGCTGCAGGCTGATTAGCCAGGGTTCAGTTCCTATTAAAAGCATGGATTTTTTCTCTTCACTGTCCCAGCCATACTGACTTTGAGGCCTACCCAGCATGCTATTCAGCAGGTGCCAGGAGATGACGCACACCACTCACTTGTGTCTGTTGCCAGTGTTAAGAATGTGTGGAGCTGCACCTCTGCATAATTAATCAAAAAGTTACATTTTTTTGATGTAATGGTTAATTAGGTACAAGGATAAATTTACTTTTACCTTTTGTATTATGTACAATAGGTTGTTCAACATGATCCATGCAGGGGAGGTGCTGGTCACTGGAATTCCCTGTTTCGCTTCAAACATCTGGCAACAGGGCAGTATCTTGCTGCAGAGATTGATGATGATGAAACATTGGATCAAATGCGATCAAAACTTAGAGGTAAGAAACTTTAAAACTCAGTATCGTTACATAACATACTGTGATATGATGGGATAGTTTAGCAAGAGAAGCCATCTGTTGCATGGTAATGGCCCAATAAATGAGCAAGCCATTGCTAGGCAACTGCTCATCAAACACCAGCAACAATGAAGGAGCTGTGAGAAACAGTGTTTTGCATGTGGTCCGTGCCAAGGCTATACTTAGAGCCCCAACACTGTGAGTTGTGGTAAATTACTCTGAAGGCTGCCAGAGCCATCAGACAGTAAAACTAGAAGAAGGGTCGCGTGGGACTCGAAACCAAGCATCAATGTGCTGGTGAGGGCCAGTTACAATTTAACAGTCAGTCAGTCACTATTTATTTCAGATGAGAGAGAGACTTATAAGATGGCAGAGAGCCAGCAAGTACATGAGCACTGAAACTGAAGAATCTGCACTGTTAGAAGATGTTATCAAGCAACGACTTAGAAGACCTAGCATGTGTTATCGTGATTTGTTAAGTTTCTAGCATTGTTAACATTTGTACAGTAAATTCAGTTATTAATCCAAACCTCATGTCTGGTCACTAACACATGAAAAACGGGGATCAGAAGTGGAATAGGGTTGGATTGTTGAACTTAATGAACTGTGCATTGTTAAGTTGGAGCACATGTGACAGATAATCATGGCTGAATTAGAAGTGCTACTAAACCTGACAGTGAGCAACCAGGCCAGCCTGGATGAGATGGAAGTCAGGATGAACATAATTCAAGAAGAAGTGAAAGCCAGCCAAGAAGATTTGATGGCCATGCGAGGATAGATATAGGGCAATCACAGATCAAGGAAAGATAGAAGTCCAGATGGATGTCAGTCAAGAAAATATGGAGGCCTATCCATTAGAGATGTGGATCAAAATTAAAACCAACCAAATCGAAATGAAGGCCAGCCAAGAAAGATGGAGGCTGCAATAACCTCCATTTGTATGAACTTGAAGAAACCATTGAAACTTGGGTGAAATATGTGTTGGTGTCTGTTGACCAATGGAAGACACACAGCTGGAGTTACAAATGCCCCTCTGTGCGCAGACCCAAAACCTCTGCTGGTAGATAACTAATGCACGAAAAGTTCCACTCTGAGATAGAAACCACATGGCACAAGTTTAAGATGCAGCTAGCGGAAGTCACAGGTGATTTCATCCAGGTACTTTACCTGACATGGCCCAAGTGTGAAACGCAGCCAAAAGGAGTCAAAGCCTGTGCCTCCCACATGGCAGGCATGCGGTCTACCACTGAAGCCTGAGCTGACTGCAGATGTTGCAGAAGAACTGGCACCGGAGCAGGCATGGCACAGCCACCCAAGCTCAATGGATTGACCTCATGGGCTGTGTTCCAGTGACAGATTAACACGGTAGTGGAGCACAACGACTGAATGCCCTGCAAAAGGTGACATTCATGATCACCACATTGAATAAGCTGGCTGCCCACATACTATGTGGTGTCTCTACTGGAGTGATGTACAAAGAGGTTACTGAAGTGGCTACGGTGACCGCCATCTGGAAGAAGCATTCCTTGCTTAGCAGAAGATAGGGACCCAGCATGTCATTAAATTCCTTCAGTTCTTTGCCACTGCAATAGACCACTTGGCTCACTGCACCCACCTTGACCTACCTGAATGCAATATCAGCAGAGAAGCCACCTGCGCATTCGCAGATGGGGTAAGGAAGTGATAAATAAGGCAACGGCTACTTGATGCAGAAGAAGACACTTAATCAGGCCCTTGAACTGGAGGCATCTGATGCAGCAGAGTCAGCACATGATGTCCAGGAAGCTCTGGGTAGGCCAGTTCGCACCAGTTGAATGAATATATCACGTCGGGTCATGTGCTGGCATTGTGGGAGCACCGGCCACTTTCGAAGAGACTGCCTTCATGAATTGAACAAAGAAGACAACTGGCATTGGATACAAAATGATCGACGCTGGAGGAACAACTGGGAGCTGGTGAGAGGAGATGAACAGATTTCAAGAAGCAACCCGAGGTTGACAAGAAGGAACAAACAACCCCTGGAAAATGAACGGGAGCTGGCAGAAATGGAGGAACGTCATTATCTCCATTCCCCCCACCCCACATTCAACATAATAGCTGAGAGGACCAACAGTAGCTTGCTCACCCAAGGCTGGATTGGAAATAAACCATGTCTCATAACCATGACACTGCATCATCCGTGACTACTGCCAGGCCAGATGTCACCGCAGGATGGCCCAAAAGGAAGCTGAGCTTATGCTGCTTGCTACTAATGGTATCTAGTGAGGCCCTCCCCATCCTGAAGGAAGCCTTAGTGGAACTAGCCCTGGGATGGAGCCCCAAGCATATCTGTATGCTTGTCCCAGAGATCACATATGAGTATATCCTGAGACTTGATATTCTGCACACCTGTGATGCATTCATGGACTTGGGGCATCACATGCTGTTACTCAGAGAGGAAGAATTATTGCTATGTAGTCTCCAGGCAAATCCCTGGTCATTTTGTCTTATAATGGCCAGTGACCATGTGATACTGCCATCATTCAAGGGAGTGATGATGGCTTGACTGGAGAGCCTTTTGTGACACAAAACAGTTTGATAAAACTGAGCCCAGAGACTCCTGAAGGACTCCACATAGCCTGGACCTTAGGCTGAGACCAATAGGAGTTACCCATCAGAGTCCTGAAAGAGACTGTTCAAGACGAGACACTGACAAAAGGATCTCCCCTGGCACAGTGTGAACCAGTTGCATTGGTGACCACACCCCTTGCTCAGAAGACTGCCTAACAGTTACAGGATGTGAGTGCCGCTGCCAGGCCAAACATAAATGAAGAAGAAATCCAAGAGTTGGAGGAACTAATCACATAGTACAGAGATGCTTTTGCAGCGAAGGGCAGTGACTGTTGGTGGCCCAACGGAGTGTACCATTGTACTGATACTGGAGAGGCCTGTCTGATTCAGCAACCCCAAGGAAGAAGCTGAAGAATGTATTTTTGACATCACACTGGGTATGCGTGCAGGAGCCAAGTGGTTCTCCACCCTGTATCTGAAGTGCTGCTACTGGCAGGTAGAGCTGCACCCTAACAAGAAGGGAAGGCAGTGTTCTCATAGGGTCAAGGGCTGTGGTGGTTTATGGTCATGTTCTTTGGCCTCTGCAGTGCTGCAGTGACATTTGAGCAGCTGATAGAGGGGCCTTACGAGTTATGCCTCATATACCTGGATGATGTGATTGTGATTGGCCACACATTCCAGGAACATCTGATCAACCTACAAAAAGTATTACATTTCCGTGAGGCCCATCTAAAGCTTAACCCATAAAAATGGCAGTTCTTTCAGAGTAAAGTCATATTGAGTCATCAGATGGAATAACCAGAGACCCAAAGAAATTGAAGTTCATATGGTAATGGCTGACCCCAAGGAACAAACAGAAAATAAGGAGCCTCCTAGGCCTATGTACCAACTACAGGCAGTTTGTCTCCAGTTTTGCTGACATTGCTAAGCCACTGACAAGACTGAAAAGGAAAAAAATGAACTTTTCTGGGGACCCCAGAAGTAGAGGCCACATTCCAATCCCTGAATGAGGCCACACCCTTGCTTGCTTACCTGCAACCACGGGAGAAGTTCATCGTTGACACAGGCATGCATATTGTTGGTATTGGGGCAGTAATATCACAAGTATAGGATGGCCATGAACAAGTAATAGCCTGCTACAGTGAGATGCTGAACAAGACAGGTAAAAATTTCTGTGTCATCCAGTGAGAACTACCAGTCATTGTCGGAAGATTGGAACTTTTCAATAAGTATCCCTATGGACAAGAGTTCCACCTCTGTGTGACCACTCCAAACTCACCTGGTTCATGAATTTTAAGAAATTTGAGGGACAAACAGCCTGCGGGATCCAGTGCCTCCAAGAATACAACTTCATGTCCAAGCACCATCAGAGCCAGAAGCACAGCAATGCTAATGCTCTTTCCCAAATACCATGCCAAGAAGACTGTACTTAGCTGTCAAAAAGTCAAGCTGCTTTCAGAAGGAAAGCAGATGCAGGCTGTCCCAGCCATATTCTCAGACAGCTGGAACCCAGCTACCCTCAGTGTGGGCCAGCTGAACAACCAAGATGTAAGACCAATCCTAGAAGAAACAGAGTCTGGACAACATCCAAAATGGAAGTATATTGGCAGTCATGGCGCCAGCTACAGGGGCTATTAGGCCCAGTGGAAGTTCCTTGCAGTAAGGGATGGCATACTGGAGCACCCATGAGAATCCACCAACAGACAATCTAAAATAGCTCAGAAAGTCCTCCCTTGTAGTAAAGTGAAGGCCATACTGGGCAAACTCCTTGTAGGACCATCAGGACACCTGGCCATCAACAAGCCCCTGGACAAGTTCAGACAAAGGTAGTGTAACATGTCAGTTTGTTGTTTGGCGATGGGAAGTCGAACAAGTTTATGCAACCTGCTTCTAAGCACCAGCCAGTAAACAAGACCCCTGCGCAGGCATAATGATGTCATACTGCAGTAGTGAGTGGGAGTCACATGACCTCTGCGTTTCTATGAGTGACGTCACATACCCCCACCTAGCCTGTCGCTATGCAATGCTCGATAAACCCCTCCCCACTAGGCTGTGACGTCATGCAACAGTGGAACCCATGCAGCGACCGTTGTTATGCGGTCGGTTAATAAACCCAGTTACCAATACAAACATGTTACAGTATTACTGGCTTCAGATGAGACATGATGTTGAGTAGTGTAACACATGCACAGCCAGTTGCAGCGAACAGACCAAGGGTTGGGGCCTTATGCATGAGTACAATGTCAAGGCTTGTTTGAGAGTACAGCCATCAGCATATCAAGCCTCTTCCCTCAGAGTGATCGCTCTGGACTGTTACACCAAGTGGCTGGAGGCCTGCTTCATCTCCAACCAGTAGCAGCCGATAGTGGTGGAAGCCCTGGTGACCAACTTCATTTGCTTAGACTCTAAAATACCAAGTGGACTTAGTTTCAACTGACCCCAACAGATAAAAAAAAACTGTCTAATGCATCAGAATACCACGACAGCTGCACAGTGACCAGGGACATAACTTTGAGTCCTATCTGATGCAGGAGATGTTGCAACACTTGGAGGTCAGTAACACATACACTACACCCCTACACCCACAGTCAGACAGCATGATAGAGCACTATATCAAAACATTCAAGGAGCACCTGTGAAAAACCGTTGTTGTGCACCAGAGGGATTGGAACATGAGATTGCCCATCGTCCTCATTGCCTACAGGGTATCCACCCACGACACTACTGGCTTCATTTTAGCTAACCTAGTATTCAGGAGAGAACTCTGCCTACCCTGCGACCTGCTATTCTGCCCCCCCCCCCCAAGAAGGGGCCAATCATCAGTCACATGGTGGATCTCATGGACCAGTTATGCAACATCCACTGTTGTGCCCACCAATATCTGAAGCTGGCCAGTGACTGAATGAAAACCTGCTACAACTGGCCGGCCAACTGTGTGGGCTGCCAAAATGATGACCAAGTATGGCTCTATCGCCCAACCCACAACAAAAGAAAGTAACCGAAGCATGAAGTGACATGGGAGGACCCCTGCAGGTAGTCACCCGAATCAGAGGTGTGGTGTACAGGATTCTACGACACCCTAGAATGAGAATGATGGTAGTACACTTGGACTGCCTAGCACTTTACAAGGGAACCACTCAGGGTGAGCAGACCTGAGGAAGGAGCAGTTAGGGAACCACAGCATGATGTTGAAATGCCACTCACAGGCATCATATGCACGGTCCCTCAGGAAAGAAATGACAATCCACCTATAAGCGACTCGAGACAAGTAGCCTTGAGGAGGTAGTAATGTGACATGATGGGTTAGGCTAACAAGAGATGCTGCCCATTGTGTGGTAACGGATCAATAAAGAAGTGAGCCATTGCTACATAACGGCTTGCCAACACACCAGCAACAATAAAGGAGCTGTTAGAAACGGTGTTTTCTATGCGATCCATGCCAAGGCGTTATAGCTAGAACCCTGACACTTGTACATATCTAGGAGAGGATCAGTGTCTTGGTCATGGATCTTGAGGAGACTGAAGCCAAGAAAAATTGTGCTGGCGAAGGCTAGCTGCAATTTAACCCACATTAGAAGATGTTACCAAGCAACGACTAGTGAAGATGTAGCAGTCTGAGAAGATCTAGAATTTTTTATGTTCATTTGTTAAGTTTCTAGATTAATGTTAGCATTATAATTAATTATAATTGCAAGTTACATGTGTTCAGTAAATCCAGTTATCAATCCAGACCATGTGTCTAGTCTCTAACTTGTTTCAGTATACAATATATCAACACTGTAGGCCACATGGAAACTAACACAGTAGTTCAGAAAATGTAATAAAATATGGGAAAGAATGATGGGATTGGGTAGCAAGCTGTTGTGGGCTTGGTAACAAACCTTAGGGTGCCATGACCAGCAGAGAATATCTTCACTAGCTGAGGACCTATTTCTGCTTCAAGAATCTAGTTAGTTATATTCTGCTCAGAATTTCAAGTCATCTCTGATTATCCCTTGTTTTCTGATATTACAGTTACAAGGAAACATTTTCTCTTGACTTAGTATCATGCAGAATTATACAAAGGTTGGACAAAAAGTAGTGGCAACACTGCTTGAACATGAAAGATGTGCGTCAGGTGGCACTAGCGCTGTCTGTAGCTGATAGCAGAAGTTCAGTTGAAGTAGTGCAGTGAATGGCTCTGGTTGTGTTTCATTGAGTTGCGTTGTGCATCATCTTGAAGGGCAGGAGCCCAGTTCGAGCACCCTAACAACATGTTTACGAAACAAGAACAACGCTCCTGGATAAAAATTGAAGTTGCATGAGGTCGTAGTGCACAAAACTGTTATCAGGGACTGCGAGAAGCATGTGGTGATGGTGCTTTGCCATATTGCACAGTCACACGATGGGTGAAATTGTTCTGTGAAGGGAGAGATGCCATTCAGGACAACCATCGTTCAGTGCGACCCCATGTTGACAACCACACAATTCAACTTCTTTGCTGGATGTTGATCATCGATGGGCTGCATGGGAGTTAGCTGCTGAGGTAGGCATATGTCACAAAACCGTGCTCCACATTCAGCACGATATTCTTGGATACCACAAAATTGCAGCGCTTTGGGTACCCCATACAATGTCCGGGGTGCAACAATGGGACCATTATGCAATTGCACAGGACTTGTTGGACCAGTACTAGTGGAAAGGTGACAACTTCCTTGGAAGGATCATCACTCTGGACGAAACTTGGGCTCACTCATACGAACCACACTTGAAGCGACAATCAAATGAATGCAAGCATCCTTGCTCTCTTCATCCAAAGAAAGTGCGCCCTACACAGAGTAATGTGAAGGCAGTGTTCACTGTGGCATATGACACTGTTGGAGTGATACTGCACCACGCTGTTCCTCAATGACAGACAGTAAATGCTGCCTACTCCTGCAGTTTCCCGCGTAATCATCCTTGTCCAGCTCTCAGGAGAAAGCGACGACGTTGGCAACGAACACCATCATCCTTCATGACAAGGCAAGGGCTGATACTGCTGATGCTGTCAAGGATCTACTTCGCTGCTGGCGACGGGAGATACTGCAACATCCACCATACTCACCTGATATGAGTCTGTGCGATTATGATCTCTTTGCCAAAATGAAAGAACCACTGCGAGGGACACGTTACAACACAAGGGAGGAGATTATTCATGCTGTAAGGCAATCACTGCTGGACATCAACAGAAGTGGATGCACTGTTGGTGTACAACGCCTTCCCCAAATGTGGGAGAAGGTGGTACACATGGGGGACGATTATATTGAAGGAATGTAAGTGTGTTTACCTCAGGTAATAAAGTCATTTCAGAACTATAGAGGTGTTGCCACTACTTTTTTATCAAACCTGTGTACAAAGATTTTGTTAGATGTCTTTGGTTTGGATACAACTTGAAGTAAAATGATTCTGCTTATAGACTGTTCTTACTCTTACAGATCCTCATGGTGGACCTGTGTATCACTTAGTTTCTGTTCCTCACTCAAATGAGATAGCATCTCTGTTTGAATTGGATGCTACAACACATACTAGAGGAGATTCTCTTGTGCCACAGAGTTCATATGTTCGATTGCACCATCTTTGCACAAACACTTGGGTGCACAGTACTTCTATACCAATAGATAAGGATGAGGAGAAGCCAGTTATGTCAAAGGTAATTTTACACTTTCACATAAATTTAATTTTAACATAGGAGACTTGAATTTTATATGTTGGTCTCTTCTCTGATAAGTTCAACATTTTGTAATTGGTTATAAGACTTGATATGCTAGAAACACGTGAAAGAAATTCATGTTGTGGTTGTGTGAGTGATGACACTGTGTAGTGTGCCAGATGTTGATACAATAGTATCTAATGTTATATTTTAGCATCCTGTTGCACTGACTCGTATCCATGATTTATGCTAACCCCCTTACAGTGCATACACTTTTTCACCTTACTCTTCTCTTTTGCACTACATGTTTCAGCACTAATGTGCCATCTTCAGGTGCGTTTTCTCTATGCACGTCTAACTACTGCATTGCATGCCCTGATGTCTTCATATTAAAATGACTAAAATATATATTCGTCATGTATAATAATAGATTTTAAATATTAAAACTTCTCAGGATTCACCATCCATACGTTGTATCTCAACACGCGAATCACGCCACTGCCCGCAGTCACAGGAGCAAGACACAACAAAGAGCACAATACACACGAATGTAGGAAGAGTGCTCCGACAGAGGAGGATTGGCATGATTCACGTGTTGAGATACGACGTATGGATGGCGAATCCTGAAAAGTTTTAATATTTAAAATCTATTATTATACATGACGAATATATATTTTAGTCATTTTAATATGAAGACATCAGGGCATGCAATGCAGTAGTTAGACGTGCATAGAGAAAACGCACCTGAAGATGGCACATTAGTGCTGAAACATGTAGTGCAAAAGAGAAGAGTAAGGTGAAAAAGTGTATGCACTGTAAGGGGGTTAGCATAAATCATGGACAGTAGTATCTATTCTGTTTTTTTTTTAGACTGCCCCCATTTTACACATTATATATTCTATATATGTTACATCAGGCTGCATAATATAAAGAAGGGTACTAACATTTTGGAGGAAAATACTGTCTTCATATTCACGTTGAAGGAAAAGTTGGAAATAGTACACAGTGCAGAGAATATGTCTTTTAAGAAAGTAGGTCTTTCCAGGAGATTTTGCACGCAACAGACTACCTGTAGTCCTCAGTTTGTTGTCCAGAACCAAATGCTTTTCCATATAGGAAGTTGACATCCATATTGCATTCTAAAACAACACTGGACAGCCATAAGAGGTTGCAACTCTGCTAGCCACAACATGCATTAAACATGTTCCTGTGGTGTCGACATCATTATTGAGCTTGCCGAAGCTCACCAGCTGGTGCATGTGCATAAGCCAGACATAAAAAAAAACTTTCAGAGTTTTCCTTTCCAACGACATACATGTATGACAAATAGTTTTTGAGGTACAAATTTATTTTATTTTTTATACCTTTCATCCAACCATCCTATATGTTGTAGTGATTATTGTTACATGTTTCTCACAAGCTTTAATGTTTGCATAAGGGTGTTAGTTTCAAATTGTTTACTTTGTAAGGGCACAGAAATTGTTACTGACATTTAAATTCTGAATGGCAGTTATGGTGTGTGTTAAGTGCTGACATGGTGTACATATTTGAATGATTGCATGAGGAAAGATATTGTAAAGGATTTGACCAATATGTTGCCAGGCAACAGCTCTGTAAACATGGTCCAACACACAACAGTAGAGGAGTCTTTGTTTTCCATGTCCACGGTGACATCATGCAGCAGTGGGTGGTCGTCACATGACATGTGTTTCCTGTGATGCGTGTCCATTCCTTGGCTATATAAATGACATAATTTGTTTGGTTCAGGGATGAGTCAGTTCTCGGTAGGAGATAGCCACAGGAAGTTTGTAGTTGAAGAAGAATACCAGAAGTCAGCCTGTGAAGATTTACCTTCTGATTTGAAGACTTTATGTGTGCCGTAGCACAGTGATATTGGGAGTGTGTGATTTAGTAGACTTTTATAGTTTTATATTATAAATCCATGAAGATTAGTGGAAATAGGTTGAAGAGATTAGTGTGGAGTGCTTTGTAATGTGAAAATCAGTAATAACGATTAATTGTAGTTACAACGTGTAGGTGGTTAGCAAATTGAATTACCAATCCAAACCCCATCTTTAGTCACCGGTACGCATAACAACTGGTTTCAGAGGTTGTATGGATTGAATTTGAGTGATCAAGTATCGAAACAAACATCTATTTTGCAGTGCCATCCCACAAAAATGGAAGATATGGAATTCCTGAAAGCCATGCTGTCCAAGATGACCACTAAATAGACGCCACCCAAGAAAAAATGGGCGCCAATACTAAAGCAATGAAGAAAGGATGGAGAGGCAGATAGGTTCTCGAGGCTCAATAATGGAGGCTGACAGAGAGGAAATGAAACAAGAAACAAGAGCCAGCCGAGAACACATGCCAGAGATGATCAGAACCAATCAAGAAGAGGTGGAGGCTGCAATACACTCCATGTGCTCTGTGTTAGATGAGACCATCCGACACTGAATCAGAAACGTCATGATCCATGTTAACCACAAGACAGAGTCTCCAGAAGGAACTGACTGAGAAAATAGAAAAAGAAAAACAGCCATCTGCTCACACTCTTTCCTCACTTGCAGATTTTTCTACCCTGAAGATGGAGGTGGTAGGTCCATCCAAAACGTCGGTTCACACAAGATCTACACAGCACCACATCCCAGAAAATGGCATTCTTCAAGAAAAGAAGATATTATGCTGAAGCAGAGGTGGAAATAATTTTCCCTGAGCTGCCATGGCCAAGGTGGAGAGATGGATTAAATTCAAGGCCACTGCAAAAGTTGTATTGATTCTTCTTTGATTTCCAGTGTTCAGAGTGACCATAATTATGTAACCTCATAAATAACTAACTCTCTCTGTGATTTGGACTCCTTGAGAAGCTAACATATATTAAAGCTAGTCAAAGAATCCCTCCCTTGTTACTTCCAGATATTCTCAGCACTGTTGTCAAACATGCTAAATCTTTTGATGTCGATTCAGCTGTTTGGCTTTATGTTGTTTGGATATAGGAATTGTTGCCAAAATTTTGGAGGTATGTGCTGTCAAGGTGTATACGTTGGGTGGTTTCCATTCAGTTTGAAGACTATATCTGTGGAGTGGAAAGGGCAATCTGAAAGCTGCTATCTCACAGTGCCAGGTGGTGGCACACATCCTGGTGAAGTGAAAACCCTCACCATTTGACATGGCCAAGATTGAGCGCACTGTGCTCTACAGACAACTTAACTGTGCTACCAGCAGATAAGGACAGTGCTATGGTGGTAATGATCAGCCAGAAGTACCATTCCAAGATGCAGGATTTGCTGTCAGATATTGGCAACAGACCATTGAATGGGGATCCCATTCAGAAGGTGGAGCACATGCTACATCATTGATCCAGAGATCAACAGTAGGTGAGTTTGAGGATGGTACACCAACCTCAGTCTTCTACCCTCCCCCCCTTGTGTGTGGTGTTTCTAAGATTCACAAAGGAAGGAGTGCCAGTGAGGCATATAGTGGGTGCATTTGACACACCCACTTATCTATTGAAGTACCTTACAAAACTTCTCACATTATCAGTGGGAAGTATGGCACACCATGTCAAGAACTCCAATGATTTTATTCAGACCATTGGCTCACTGCTGGTCAGTCTGGAGAACATTGTGGTCAACTTTGATATAGTATCACTCTTCACCTGTATTTTGTTCAAGGAAACTGTGACTGTACTGGACTAGCAAAGACATAACCATCCTCTTCTGCCTAATGCTCACTTTTTTTTAACAGCCAGTTTTTTGAGCAGTAGGTTGGAGTAGGCATCAGGTTTCGTCTGTCCCTGTCGTAGTAAACTAGAGAATTTCAAGGCACAAGGCTGCCTTAAAGCCTAGGTATTGATTCCAATATGTGGAAATACTTCTGTCATCTGGCTGTATGTTCCACACAAGCTGAACAGCTTTGTCTGATACATAAACAGCATCCATCCTGGCTTTCAGATCACAGTGGAACAGGAAGGAGCTCATCTGCTTTTCTTGGATGTGGGCTTCTACAGGAGTGGTAATGGGTTCTTATGCCACAGAGTTTACTAAAAGCCAACACAACTGGCCAGTACCTCACCACTGCCTTGAACCGCTATTTGGCCCAGGAACTTGGTGTCCTCTTGACCAGAATGCACAGGGCAAACAAGGTCTCAAATGAAGGCAAGCTAAAAACCAAGTTCACTTACTGCAGAAGAACTATCAAGAAGATCCACATAGCACTTTGGCTCAAGGGAAGCATGAAGGAGGCAGACACAAGCAGAAACCCATTGGTACAGCATATCTACCATTTGTGCAGAATTTATACAATTGAATCAGCAGAATACTGGCACAGTACAATAGAAAACCTTACATCCATCACTGTCCAAGACTTGATCATTCTCAGAATGGACAAAGACAACCGATTATTTATTTTTTGTATTCTGAGTGGGGTGAGTCTGAGTCCACTTGGAGCTACAGCCGCTACTGGCCTATTGGACAAGCCCCAGATGATAGATGGTGGTTATTGTGGAGCAATTGGTGGAATGAAGATTGGCAAGGGAAACTGAATTACTTGGAGAAAACCTTCCCAAGTGCCACTTTGTCCACCAGAAATCCTATATGACCAGACCTGGGCTCAAACCTTAAGGACAGCCGAGGCCTTTTAAGTTCCAGGAGTGAACTTTGGAGTGTCTGTTGGTGGGACAGGCTGCCTGTTTGGAGAATGTACAAAGGATCTCCACAGAGACCTCTGACTCTACCATCTTGAATGCTGGCAATGGCTGAGCATTGAGTCAACCAGGGCTACCGAATATATGCACTTTGTGGGGCTGCCCCCAGTACACCGGCAGAGTTATCTCACAAGTCATAGAAATTAGCCTACACCAGAACTTTAATAGAGAATATGACTGTCATTTAAGCCCTTTAACACTGTGTAGCTGACACCATTTAAACACTCCCTTCTCCTTTGCCAGAGAGTTTGAAGGGGTATGGAAAATTTTCAGTTTTTTCATGTAAGTTGTG